AAAAGAAGAGGGTTTCCCGGGTGGCCATCCCGAACCCAACCCTGAGGGCAAGCCTGGACTGGAGGGCCGACTGTGCCTTTGTAAAAAGAACCACTCCTAACTGGACATGGCTGCCGGACCTGCTGCTCAGCTTTTGTCCTGGAAATTCAGAAATTCCCTTTCCTTCTCTCCTGGGCTTGATTTCTGGTTTCTTTGTTACTCTCCAACTTTAGTAAATGGCATCTTTCGTTGCTAAGTAAGGGTGTGTGGGAGATGATTTTTGAGTCCTTGCTTCTTTGAAAGTGTCCTTTTCCCACCTTTGCATTTAAATGATAATTTGGCTGGGTGTAGAATTCTGTAGTGCAGTCACTTACCCAGGAGTTTTGAAAGTTATCTTCAGATTAGTGTGAGGGACATGGAAGAGCAGAGAGGCTACTTGGAAGAAGGATGGCGTTCTCAGAAAAGATCTAGGTTCTCTTAAAGGAGGAAAGTGAAGGAAGTGCTTAGACAAGAGTTGAGGGCACAGGAATTTTGCTGCTGACTGACCCTGAGTTCTAGAGAGCAAAGTGGGAGGGTCTCAGGAGTTAAGGGGGAGCAGGAAATGAGGTTAGAATACGGCTGATGGAGCCGTATGAGATGAGTCTAAAACATGAAGGACAATCTAGGATTCTTGAAGAGACTGACAGGAAGTGAGATAAATGCTATAATGTAATTAATCAAAAAGATCTCAAGGCAAATGATGATAACAATGAAGTGAGCAGTGGGGATTGAGGATGAGGGAGTAGGGATTTGACCAGAAGTATGCAAGTTCTAAAACTCTCGTTCCACCCTGGTGATAAGGGTGTGGAGGCCCAAGGAGGGGAACTTTGAATTTATTCCCAACACACAGAAATCTTCCCAAAGAATCACGATAAGCCAACTATTTCTCAGCAGTGTGAGAAACAAGTTTGCTTCGGTGAGAACTCGTCATAATAGAAGCTAACACTGACCGAGGACCTGGCAGTTTACACACATTGTTTTATTTCATTCTGACAACGATCCCAGAGGAAAGCATTATCATTACATTTTACAGACAAACTAAGTCGAGAGAGTTTCAAGTACCTTATATGCTACCTCAGGTCCCGGGAAAAGTCCTGAGAGGCCCCAAACCTTATATAAAATCTAAAACAGCAGAATTTCATATGAAAAAGTCCTTTATTTTTATAAAGATAAAACTTTCTCTTCACCTTTTTCCTTGCAGGCAAGGAAATGAAGAAGTTATTTTGTAAAGACTTATGATAGGCCTTTCTCTGACCAATGGTTTCCACCCAAGCACAATACTCCTTCTTTGTGCTTTACGGTGCTTTCCTTAGCTCTGTGAACTGAGGAAAATATTTAGCTACATGCTATTCTCTAGCATATATCTATTTTTTAGACGTCTACCTCCACAGGACATTTTACAGTGACTGAAGGAATTCAATCAACAATAGACAGGTGCCTCAGTGTGTATGAAGAACCACAAAGAAGTAAGCTCACAGATCAAGTAAGCTACAAAAATCAAAGAAAAAGAAACACAACCAGGGGTTTTCACTTTCATTTTATATACCTCAAAATTACAGAGAAGAAGAACAGTTTCAGAATTTTAAAGTTAAATATAGATGAACTGAAGGAGAACAATATATTTAGCCTTACTTGGAAATCTTCAAAAACTGAATGTTACACCTAAGTAATGAAAATTAATAAAACAGGACTTCCGCCAAGATGGAGACTTGGTGGAGGAACCACCTTGCCTCTGTGCACAACCAAATCTAAGAACAACTATTTTTAACAGCAGTCACAACCAAGCCACACGGAAAATCGACAATACGGAGTCCAAAGGACAACTAGATACTCAGCTGGACCGGTACGAGGAGCGAGGCCAGCAGCGGAGCAGGTTAGCAAGAAAAAATTCCAGGGGTTGTGCGCGCAGGCAACCGAGGGCACTGATCCCGAGCGAGCTGGCTGCGGGAGCGCACAGGGAAGAGGCGCGGCGGTCTGTCGGTCGCGCGCATTTACGTGCGGAGAAACCAGTGAGAAGGGAAGCCGGCGTGGGGCAGCAGGCTCGCACAATTCCGATCTGATAAACAAGCCCCAGGCGTGTGGAGTGACTGGACGCGCTGGGCTAGCGGAGAGGACCGCCATTGCTCCCTCTCTGACCACGCCCCCAAACACAGCATCACAAACCAGCGACCTGGGTCGCCCTATCCTGGTAAACAACTAAGGCTTCGCTCCGCTTACTAAACAGCACGAATAGACCAAAAATGGCTCTAGGACAACTCAGAGCCCCAGAACCGATAGATCTAAGCGATGAAGAAATAGCCAGTCTTTCAGATGCACAGTTCAAAACACTGGTTATCAGGATCCTTACAGAACTGGTTGATTTTAGTCACAAATTAGAGAAACATATGGAAGCTAAACTAATTGAAATGAATGGTGATACAAAGGAAGCCAATAGTAATGGAAAGAAAATTGGGACTCAAATCAAGGGAGTGGACCAGAAGGAAGAAAAAAATGATCAAACAGAAAAGAATGAAGAAATAAGAATTCAGAAAAATGAGCAGAAGCTTAGGAACCTCCAGGACATCTTTAAACGTTCCAACATCCGAATTATAGGGGTACCAGAAGGGGGAAAGGCACAGCCACCAGTGGAAAACTTATTTGTACAGATAATAAAGGAGAATTTCCCCAAGCTAGCAAAGGAAATAGACTTCCAAGAAATCCAGGAAGCTCAGAGAGTCCCAAAGAAGTTGGACCCAAGAAGGAACACACCAAGGCACATCATAATTACATTAGCCAAGATTAAAATGAAGGAGAGAATCCTAGAAGCAGCAAGAGATAAGGGGACAGTCACCTATAAAGGAGTTCCCATCAGACTGTCAGCTGATTTCTCAAAAGAGACCTTACACCAAGAAGGGGCTGGAAAGACGTATTCCAAGTCATGAAAACCAAAGATCTACAACCAAGATTGCTCTACCCAGCAAAGTTTTCATTTAGAATGGAAGAACAGATAAAGTGCTTCTCAGATAAGACCAAATTCAAGGAGTTCATCATCACCAAGCCCTTATTATATGAAATGTTAAAGGGACTTACCTAAGAAAAAGAAGATAAAAAAGATGAACAGTGAAAGGACAGCAAACTCACAGTTATTAACAACCACACCTAAAACAAAAGCAAACTAAGAGGACAGCTAGATCAGAAGCAGAACCATAGAAATGAAGATCTCATGGAGGATTAGCAACAGGGGAGTGGGAGAAGGAGAAGGGGAGAAAAGGTACAGAAAATAAGTAGCATAGACGGTAGGTAGAAAATAGATAGGGGGGAGGGTAAGAATAGTAGGGGAAATACAGAATCTAAAGAATCTGAGACACATGCTCATGAACTAAAGGGGGAAATGGTGGGGGAGGGGTATGCAGGGTGGAGGGGAATGGAGGGGGGAATAGAGCAAATGTAATGGCATAATCAATAAAAAAAGTTAAAAAATAAAGAAAATTAATAAAACAAACTTTAGTTAGTGAAAATATAATTCACATAGTTGATTCAGGCATTATTCTTTTTGGTAGAATCCATAATAAAATAACTTCTTAAGGTATAGATAACTACCACAATGAAGTAAAAATTAATTTTTCAGCAAAAAGAATCGAAATTTCAAAAGATGTCATAAGAATTCTTGTCAAGTTGCAGGATTTACAAATACAATTCTTTTAATGCTATTATTCCTGAATTTGGGGTGCCGTTGTGAACAACCTGTTTCTTTGAGATTACAATTTGCATTGTTTCCTGGTATTTTTATCTGCCTGCAGTTTTCATAATCCCCTAGAAAGCAGGGGCACCTGTAGGTTGGATGGCCAAAGGCATTGGCACAGTTATAGCTTTAAACTATGGGTAAGAAATCGGTTCTGCAAGAGACTCACCTAGAGGACTCATTAGAAATATATTCCTGAATCCCACCTCAGATTCTTGGAATTAGAATCCCTGAGACTCAGAAACATCCATTTATAAAAAGATCTGCAGGTGTGTCTGAGGCCTGGGCAGATTTTAGGAAAACAGACTAGAGCTGCGGATTCTGAAGACTCAAGATCCTCATGAAACACCTTTGGGTATCTCTCCCCTGTTTTAGCCAGAATAATTCCATTTCTATTTATGTTAGGTATCTCTCATGCATCTTAAAATCTGCAGACTACAAAACCAGCTGGAACAAAGTGAATGCACCCATATAAATATTAAACTCATTATTTTGGCATCATAAATGGCTTAATCCAAAGACAAAGAGACTAGAGAGATAAAAAGACCAGGATTAATGAACAAAGAATATCCGTGAATACAAAAAGAAAAACCTTATAAAAGCAGTTCTGTAATTCACATACTATACTTTTTATTACAACTTAAAAACTTATTCAATACACGAATGAATTGCATAATAAAGTTCTCCAAATGGAAAAGAATACACATAAAGACATTAATTACATAAACAACTGTCGCTTACAAAAAACTACTTTTTCTAGACTTGCAAGTGAAAATACAAACTAAGTCAAGTCAAAGCTCAGTGACCTTTCCTCCTACAATCCGAATTCCGCCACCCTCACCTCTGCCCAGCAGACACAGGGGACAGGGGAGGCGGTGGTAGATCTGGCAAGGTGGGCTCCTTGAGAAAATGATCACCCTAGGGAACACAGGATCAGAATGAACATCTGTCTGCCGCTTCCCCACAAGCACAAGATTCGCATCCTTCGAACTCCCTTCTGGTCGTTCCCCCAACAGACTAACCCAGAAACCTATGTCGTGCTGTGGAGAAAGGCTACTTTCCTCCTCCCATCCTGTCTTTAGATATTCCCCAAAACAACTGACTCTGTGTACCCTGACCTTTTGAAATCTCTAGTTCAACCACCCTACCTACTAATAACGTGTGCCCCCTGGAAATTAGGTTTGAGACATTCAATCTGGCACAGCGATACAGTCTCAAGAGGCTGCTTCATCAAATGAGTCAGCATAATGTTTTTACTCACCTGTCTGAATACACATACTAAGCAGGAGGTGAACTGAGAAAGAAGCCAGGAGAGCAACTATCAGCAGCATGAAACTAAAATATAAAAGGGTACACAAAAAAAACTTTTAATGGCCTCTCATTGTAAACACAAATTTTTTCACATTTAAATGCTCATGGGTAGTTGGATCGTGATCATTAAAAAAAATAAGAAGACAGTTTTCTATATTTACCAAATTTTATTTAAATGAAAATATACCACTTTTAAACTCAAAAAAGGAATCAGAAAAAAAACTTTATTTAAAGTAAAAACACACTTCCTATTTTAGCACTTGTCTGCTGATCGCAGCTTTAGCCATTCCATAATCTTGCAGGAGTTCCCTTTTATGACTATTTTTCTTATTCTAAGTCTAAACAAAAGTTTTAGTTGTGAAATCTCATTGTCTTGGCCTTTCTACTTCCCTCCACCCCTCCCCTTAGAATGATGTGTGCCTTCCTATCATATCGTTTATTTATAATATTGAATTAAGACCGAATTCCCTCGCATCTATTAAACACACACACACACGCTTACCAACATCCCTCGCCCCCAAATGCAGTTAACACACTTCGAACAACACAGTTGAAAAATGTACAAACAATGTGGGAACTGGGATCCTGTCACTGATGATGGGAAAAGAAGCCCCCTGTACAATCCCCTGCTTATTCTCAGGATGATACTGACAGAATAAGCTTCTACAAAGCTGTCCCCAGGGGAGTCAGTCCCCCAACACTTAAAAAAAATTCTATCTTTGTGGTCCATTCAATACTTGCTAATATTCAATAAGTAGCAAAACTGAAAGTTTATACTTTTCAGTAAACTAACATCAGTGACCTCACAAAATAACAATTTGGTGTCACCAAAAGGGAAATGTGATGTGTGACAGGACTCAGGGAGCACACCTTCAGTGGTATACATCTGCATGCAAGACCATGGAGTATAAAACATGATTTTTCAATGCCCTGGCTGGTGTAGCTCAGTGGATTGAGCATGGGCCTGCGAACCAAAAGATCACAGTTCGATTCCCAGGCAGGGCACATGCCTGGGTTACAGGCCAGTTCCCATCAGGGGACACATGAGAGGCAACCGTACATTGATATTTCTCTCCCTCTCTCCATCCCTTCCCCTCTAAAGATAAATAAATAAAATCTTTTAAAAAAACGTGATTTTTCAAAGGGAACCAAAAATTAAGTCTTGTGATTATGTCTTGCTTAAGGTGTCACATACAGTTTTAAAGTTATAAAATTATGAAAGTTTGTGATTATGGACCACAATAAAAGCAAGTTGAATTACTTAAAAGTTGGTTTGCTTATCAAGATTCAAAATACAAAAGACCTCGGCCCTCCCCCCCGCCCCAGGAACAGGTTACCTTTGCTTTTCTCTCTCCTAAGCGCCAAGGGCCCTTCTTCTGCCTCTGTAACTTGTTTCCTGAGTCTACCAGGCCCACCTGGCTCACTTCTACTACCCATGACTTTCTAAATAAACTTTCTCTCATAATTTGAAAAAAATTAATTACAAAATAATATTAAAAAACCTAAATGAGATTGTTTACTTTAAATTTCCTAGTAAATTAGGTCTGCTTCTACTGACAAAATGAACTTGTGCGTTCCTTTAACCATCATGCTAGATGCTGACGATCAGGCTCAGTTCTAAAGGACTTCAGAGTTTAGTGGGGACACTAACTTGCGAACAAATCACTGTATTACGTGATAATAACAAAATGAATATACAAAGTACTATGGGAACACAGAAAAGCCAGGAATGTCTTTTATTTTGGGAAAACTGGCATATAAGCAGAGTCTTGAAAGATGAAAAGGAACGGGCACAGCCCTGGCCGAGTGGCTCAGTTGGTAGGAGCGTTGCCCCCTACACCAAAAGGTTGCCAGTTTGATCCCCAGTCAGGGCACATACCCATGTTGCAGGTTTGATCCCCAGGCTGGGGTGCCTATGGTAGGCAACCAGTCAATGTTTCCCTCTTTCACTCTCTCTCCCTCCTTCTCTCTTTCTAAAAAGAAAAACCAGTAAAAACATATCCTGAGGCGAGGATTAAAATACATACCTACTAGGTCTCTCTGGAAAAATCCCAGCCCTTGTTAACATAATGATAAAGGTTTGTGTGACACAGATGTAACCTGGCAGCCAAGGAGAGTGGACTGAAATTCACATGCATGAATGGCCACTTTACTATACCAGTCAGTGAGGGTGGTAGACACTTTGAGTGAGCATGCGTACTGTGTGGCCATCACATTCAAAATGACCGAGCAAGTAGAGCAATGAATCTGCATGAAACTTTGCTTTAAGTTTGAACATTCCTCCGCAGTAACTACCTGAATGATTCAGAAGGCAGCAACTACGGGCAACTGGCGACTGGCAGCTTCATCACAACCAGGTGCCCACTCATGCAACATGTATCATGCAGAGTATGTTGAGGAAATATCAAATCAAACAGGTGACTCAGCACCCCTACAGCCCAGATTTGATGCCCTGTAACCTCCAGCTTTTCTCAAAATTAAAATCACCTTTGAAAGGAAAGGGCTTTCAGACCATCAATTAGATTCAGGAAAATATGACAGGGCAGTTGATGGCGATTAGGAGAACCATGTGAGGTCCCAAGGTGCCTACTTTGGAGGGGCCTGAAGCATCATTGTCCTATGTACAATATTTCTTTTATATCTTCTGTAATAAATGTCTCTATTTTTCATATTACATGGTGGGATGTCTTCTGGACAGACCTCACATATGTACAAAAGAAATAGGCATGGAAGACATCTGGACTCAGAAAGGAAAACAAGACTACTTAAGAGGGGAAGAGGGGAGGCGTTACACAGAAATAAAAACATGAGGTGCTTTACTTATACTCACAAAATTGCTATTGATGAGTAATGTGCACGGCTGATAAATTCTGATTCACTTTGGCCAACTTGACACAACAAATAAGTCACTTCTTAAGGTTATAAATGGAGTGGATCAAGTTTCCATTTTTAAAAATTAGCCAGGCTTTTGGATAAAAATATGCAAATTACATAATAGCATACATCCAAGCTATAGACTAGCAATAATATAAGAGTAGCAAGAAAATGCTAAAACCCCCCAAATAATTTAACTTGAAATTGTTCAACACCAGCTCTGGTACTGATTTCATTTTTCTCATTTCACTATCAAAATGGAAAAGAAAAAGCAATGGTGAAATAAACAACTCACCTAAATCCAAGGACACCAGTATGAGCCATAACATAAGCTAAGCTAAGGATGCCACTTCCCATGATGCCATTCACCAAACTCAACACTGAAAAACCATATGAAACACCGACGGATCCCGGGCTGTGAAGTTCCTGTAAGCACACAAATTTCACAGTGTTAAATGTTTGGATGATGAATTCGAGTTCAATCAAGAAATGGAGAAAAATCTCCTGCAAACTACAGGCATTGCGTGACACATTAGTTGTTCAATCAGCACTGGCTGGTTTCCCTTCCTTCCCTTCTCACCTCCCAGTAGCACTGCTCAAGGAGTATAGTTTCCTAGGAAAATCATCTCCCCCAGTACAGGGTCTTGTGATTGCAAAAGATTAAGATAGGATAGGAATGGGGAGGGGAAGGAGAGCAGCCAGATGGCCTCAGCTCATGTGATTGCTGAAGTGTCCCTGACTCACATCGAGGCTGATGTACTCAACTGCTGCTCTCCAAATACTAGCACTGCAACACTAATTTCTATTTATATAAATGAATTAAGTCCGTCCAACTGAGAGGATGGTAATACCTTGAATGACGGTATAATCAGCAATTCATTTGCTCTGGTGAGGATATCCCTAAAAACACCCTTTCCCAAAGTAGCATTTGGGAACAAAGTCCTAAAATCTGTACAGTCCAGGGACTTGAGTTAAAAAGTCGAGTGCCCATCGTACAGACTTTAGGGTCAGGAAAACGTTAGGTACTTATTACTGGGCCATCTCCACTCCTCCTTCACCGTTAAGGATTTCTGTATAAAGATGTTTACAGTGCCCCAGTGACTAAGTCGAGGAAAGAACAAGTTTGTGACTCTTGGAAAAATCTCACAAGACTGGTAGAGGAAATAGGAAGCTGACAGAGATCTCAACAAACAGCAGTAATCTACGTAACCCTGGGGCTGTGACTCCAGTGGTGCCTGCCGCTACACCTGTTCCACCTGATCCTGCCTGCACCTTTGTCAGTTTTTCTTCCTCTGGCACGTTAGGCTACTATCACACTCATGAACTCCGCCGGACGACACCTGAATCTCTGCTGCTGCCTTTGGGCCTTGGGCCCCGGGCCCCGGGGCCCCAGGCCCCATGCCTCTCTTCCCATGCCATCCTCCTCCTTTTCTCGATCTTATTCGGCAGGCACTTCAGGGGAGCCAGGTCACTGTCCGGGCCAACCAGCTAGCGAAGCCTACTTACGTTGCTTAGCAACGGGCTCAAGTCTTCCGCCTCCGCCTCCGCCTCCTCGGGCTGCTGGGAAGAGATGTACCAGCCCGGCTCCACGTTGATGACCCCCCAGGGTGCCTGCATACTGTTCGCTGGCCGACTACCAGGTCCATCTGCAAAGCTACTATCCCTGCCCTCCTGTCTCTAAGTCGCGCCAGAGGCGGAGCCGAGGGCCGGATCCTTCCGGGTTCCAACACCTTAACGGGACAAGAAAGGAGGGAAGCGACGCGACCTGATGACGTCCGCTCCTCGGCGGCGAACAGTGATGATGTCATCTAGGGACCAACCCCTCCACTAGAGACCCTTTTTCGAGCTGTACCAGAGCATGAGGTGAGGGGTCTGGTCGTGGGTCCCCGAGCAGTTACACCGCGAATTAGAACGGTAATCTCGGTTAGGTGGCGGCTGCGTTGCGCTTTTTAGTTCGCAGGGGCTGAGGCTACCTGTCTGCCTGGGGCTGCTCTCCGCCTCGTGCTGCCTGGCAAGGAAACGTTGCGAGGTCACTCATCATCACCCCGGGTGCTGAGCCTAGGTCCGAATGCTGGATAGTGAGGATCTGTTTATTCTTTTCAGAAGTTTTCTGATTGATCCTTTAGCCACATTTTACAAGGGGGGAACCCGAAACTCATTAAGTAATGTACTAAGCTCACACGGCTGGTTAACTGCTAGACCCAATTTGAACCCTCGAGGTGAAGTTTGATATTTGCTTTACAGGCTTTGGGGCAGAGCCTTTCCTCTTACAACTACTTCTTTGGTATTCCAGAAGGCAAAGTGAATAACTGATACTCTTAATTGCACTCAGTAAAGTCCTCATCCTCCAAATACTGAAACCTCTAGTTACAGGGTAGTTTGTGGCAGTGTAGCAGTATGTTAATAACAGGCTCTGAAGTCAGACCTGAGTTTTAATCCTTGCTCAGACACCTAACAGCAAGGAGACTGGGCGTAACCTATTTCTGAGCTTTGGTTTATTCATTTACAAAATGGAGGTGCAATACCATGCACCTCCCAAGTTGGATATGTGTGTTAAGCATTTAGCTTAGCATCTGACACATTAAGCACCCACAAGAATATCCTAAGAAATACTGTCATTAATAAAGCTGTAAATATAATAACCATTTCGAAAATTCAGAGATGGTCCCCTAACTCAGACCTCAGCCTTCTTCAATTCCAAATGTACTCTGTAGCCAGTTGTGGGTGGAGAGGCTCATTAAGTATAGATAAGGAGGCTGACTGATCACTAAGCCCTCATCCTGGCAGCAGGTGTGTTGAAGGTGCAAATTTATTGTTTACCACTATGAAAGTCATTCTGTCCTGGAAAAGATGGTACACTTCTCACACACACAACTAAAAGTTTTAACCACCAGCATTCAGCAAGTTATGTAAAACTATTTAGATATTCATTATCAGAAACTACTGTAAACATGTAGATTGGTTTGTAGCTTTATGGTTTTTAAATGAATACTTTTTTTTTAGGGTCTTATGGAGGCCATTTGGATTCTTAAGAAGACCCCTCAAACTGGAAAGCTGTAGAGTAACTGAATCAGAATCACCGATCCCACTAGCTTGGACATCACTGATCCAGAAACTTACCAGAGCACCTAGTATTTTCTTGCTGAATCCCAGAAGATTCTCAACCATGCCTGAAATAGAAACAAGTCAGAGAGGTTCAGACTTGTTTTCACCACCCTCTGATGTTCGAGGAATGACAAAACTTGACAGAACAGCTTTTAAAAAAACAGTCACCATCCCAGTGCTTAAAGTGAGGAAAGAAATTGTCAATAAACTGATTCGATCCCTTAAAAGGGCAGCACTTCAGCGCCCAGGCATAAAACGTGTGATTGACGATCCAGAAGATAAAGAAGGCAAACTAATTATGTTGGATCCCTATAAAATGCTTACCAGTGATTCCTTTGAGGAAGTAGAACTCAGTATTTTAAAGCAGCTTAATGTCAGTCCACAGATATCTAAATATAATTTGGAACTAACTTATGAAAACTTTAAGTCAGAAGAAATCTTAAGGGCTGTGCTTCCTGAAGGTCAAGATGTGACTTCAGGGTTTAGCAGGATTGGACATATTGCCCACCTGAACCTTCGAGATCATCAGCTGCCTTTCAAGCATTTAATCGGTAGGTATGCCTTAGTAATATTCCTGTACTAGAAAGCAGTAACAAAATTCTAATTCTAGTTTTTTTTTAAGTGCCAAATTGCAGAAGCAGGACATTTTCTCTCTCAAAGTTTAAGCTGGATCTTAAGCTACGAACCCTGTCTTTTGAGGGCCATTTTGGAATACCCTTTCCAGAGTCATAGCAAGCTTTGCCGAGCAAGTCAAGCTTTTGTGTACACAGTGCATAAGCATAGATAACAGTTGAATCACTTGCTTTGGCAGATTTCTCTGGCAACTTGTCACTTTGGTACACAGGCCTTATTAAGCCCCAGGACTATGCTGAATGGTGGGTTTCATAAATTTGAGTGTTTTATGTCAAAAATGCAAGACACTATTTACTCACACTTTCACAGATTCAACTAACTGAGCCTCTTCTATCAGCACTGTACTTTGTCTTCAAGTGCTCCGAGTCTTTCAGGAATGGTGCTTGCGTAGGTTGTACCGCTGTAGCTGCAGGTTTGAGCCTGGACCCTTTATTCTTTGGGATAAAAGAGGGGTACCAACTAATCTAAATTGCCCTTGTCCTTGTATGAATATTTAATGTCCATGCATTCTGAAGATTAATTATTTTAATATAGAGTAATTGTCAGAACTTATGGGAATTATTTTCAGCTTTAAAATATAGTGCTCAGTATTTTGCATGAGTAGGATTTCAGAAATAGGCTGTTATGCACTTCCTTTGTTTTATTGATGGCAAGGGCTGGTAATGCTTAGTGATAACATAATAAATACTGAAGCAGATCCTTGTAATTATGATGGGGTACAAATGTCAAGTCTAGGTTTTCCTATGAATTATTGCCTGTCATAACACAAACATTACATTTGCGAATCCTGTTTTCTAAACTCTCTTTCATAAGGGGGCACTCATAGAAGAAAAGTGAAACAGTTTCATGTGGGGCAATTTTTAAACTTTTATTATAAACTTTCAGATTACGTTTTTTTTAATTTGATTCTTTATTTCAAACTAACTTCAGTACTTTCAAAATTGAGTTCTGATACCTGAAGCAGGACAGGATAAGAACAATGATTGAACAGAGTTTATTGATATCATATTCAAAATCAGGTATCTAATTATTGGAGAAATTAGACAAATCTGGTTGTACTTCAGCATATCTGTATTATTGAGTACTTTTTATTAACTTACAAATCAAGTTATTTTTCCTTATGCAATGAGATAGCATGTAGATTCTTACTGACTTTTTTAACTGCTGACATAAAAAGTAGACTTCAATTAAAAGTCATCAGTATACCATTTCTGGTGTATTTATTACCTTTGTAGCTTTTTCTGCTGCAGCAAATATTTGACAAAAAGAGCAATTTAAGTAAATGAAAATTTTATCTAGTTCAAAACATTATTTTGCTGGTATATATTTCCAAAGTGGAGGCATGTATTTCAAGTACAGAGTAAAACAAACATTTGGTTTGAGGCCAGTGGCCACAGGGCTGCTGATTTCTGAGGCCATTTGTTGCCAAGGTCCTTACAGCTCTTTCTGTTCTTTACCGATTCCCTATGGTCTGCCTTTTGCTTACTGTAGTATTGCTACATTTGAGATTTAGTAAAAAAACATGGAAAAATTTAGGTAGACCTCAACTCCTCAAAACTATTTCCTTAAAAATGTACCCATGCATTTTTTGTGTGTTTGTATTAGAAGCTGTCAGACATTAATTTTAGTAATCTATTGAATTTTTAGAGTTGCATGCCATTTTACACAAATTAGATGCAGTTTTTATCTATAAACAAAAAAAGTTCATTTCCATTTTGTATTTATGGTTTTAGGGGTTTTTTTGCCATCAACAGGCAATATTTGTTACGAATTCTCATCTTTTCTTTTAGGCCAAGTTATGATTGACAAAAATCCAGGAATCACTTCAGCAGTAAATAAAATCAACAGTATCGATAATACGTACCGAAATTTCCAAATGGAAGTGCTATCTGGTGAGGAGAACATGATGACCAAGGTATGGAGTATTTCATTGTCTCCTAGTATATCAAGATGAATGTTTGGAATCAGAATAGATAATAAAGATTAAAATATTTTTATTTTTTATATATATTTTTTGTTGCCAGTTTTTTTATGTTATTTTATTTATTTATCTTTAGAAGGGAAGGGAAGGAGAGAGAGAGAGAAATATCAATGTATGGTTACTTCTCATGCATCCCCTCCTGGGAACTGGCCCCTGCTAGGAATTGGCCTGCAACCCAGGCATGTGCCCTGATGGGGAATCGAACCGCAATCCTTTGGTTCGCAGGCCCGTGCTCAATCCACTGAGCTACACCAGCCAGAGCCTATAATATTTTTAATACCCAGTATTCAGTATGTGAGGGTGTGAGCATTTAATTACACAACTGATGGGAGTTCAACTTTGATGCATTCAGGAAGAGTGTATGGTAATACATTGCAATTTTGAATAGGTGTGTCCTTTGACCTAGCATTCCAGTTACAGGAAGTTATTCCAAGGATATAATTAAAGAAAACTGTAATGATGGATATACTGGATTTTTCGCCATTATTTTTATATTAACAAAATAAACTAATGGAGTTCATTAGTAGAGAATTTATTAAATTCTGGCATAACAATACAATGGAAGTCCATCATTAAGGATTATCTAACTCCTTATTAAAATTGCCATTGACAGATGAAGCAATAAAGAAGCAAGGATATAACATAGTCCATTTTGACTAAATACCTATATAAATGTGCACATACATCAGAATGTTAACAGTGGGCATATTTTTATTTGATGTAGTTATTGGCAACCTTTGTTATAATCTTTATATCTTGATGTTTATGGCCACACAAATTCAAATGCATGTTATTTTAAGTATAGTATTATTTCTCCATAACTTAATAATATTAAAATATTATTGGGTTGGCTAAAAAGCCCATGTAGGTTTTTCCATAAAAGAAAAGACATTTTTCATTTTCATCAGTAACTTTATTGATTTGGATATTTTGACTGTGTCAGCCATCTCCCACATGGTATAACGTTAGTCGTTCTCAATTAATGTCTTGATTTGATCACTATCAACTTGAACTGGTAAACCCACTGTGAAGAGTCACCCAGTGAGAAATCTCCAGCACAAAACTTCGCAAACCACTTTTGACACGTTTGGTCAGTCACAGAACCTTCTCCATATCCTGCACAAACTTTTTTGTGTGTTTCAGTTGTGTTTTTACCTTTCTTGAAATAATAAAGCATAATATGCCAAAAACGTTGTGTATTTTCTTCCATCTTCAATATTAAAATGGCTACCCCCCAAATTCACCAATTTTGATGTTTTTTTAATGCATACTGATATGACAGCTGTCATAATGCAGTCTAACAAAATTGTTTCGATTGAAGTTAAAGACAATTAAATACTACTAGAGCCATTATATGACTAGAAAAAACCAAACGAACTTTTTGGCCAACCCAATAAAATACCATTTATTGCACATTTACTGTTAGGTTCTGAGCTAAACACTTGATATGTAACAAATCTTATGAAGCCCACAAGATAACGATGGTTATTTTTAATATCCTCTTTGTGCAGATGAAGTAACAAGGAATGATTGGGCAGGGTGTTTAGAGCCAGGCTGCTGACTCCAGAGTCCATTTATGGTCTTTCCCTGTATACCCAGCCCCCACTGCCTACTACTTGTGTATAATGTATGAGGGGCGTTATGGGAAGTGAAATTTGAATGTGAATCCTTTAGTAATACTAGTGTTTACTTCAGCTGGCATTAAGGCGTACCCTTTGGTCATGCTGATTGAGCATCGTGCATGTTCTTCACCTGGTCCTGACTCTTAGGGAACAGGTAACATCATCATCACCCTTAAGAGAAAATCTAAAAGTTCTGAGAAACTTCTGTAATTTTAGGAATGCCTTACCATTGATTCCCTAAATCATAATGTTTGTTCCTAGGACATCTCTTATACCTAATAATTTTACCATAAAATAAATGTTAAAAATTAGTGTAATTTCTGTGTTCCAAATAACATTGGACTTTAAAGTCAAGTAACATTTAACTTTAACTTTAGGACTCATGCAAAATTTAAATATGTGTATATTGTGAGTAAAATGATTCCTGAAAGTGAATTTGCCAGAAATTAATGCTAAGGGAGTGAGGTATCAAAGACAGCATGAATTAAATCAGAAAGATTAAATTAGATCTGTTCCTCACTTTAAGGACCTTAGAAGGGAAAAGCAGACAGGAAATTTTAGGGAAAGCAGTCACAAGACATATTGAAACCTCCCAGGTTATATACCCAGAAAGACTTAGTTGGTAGAATCATGAGGAAACATTTCCAACTCTGGAACCTTAATAGTATCTCCATGGCATCTGATGTGGTTAAGAGAGGAGGAAATGTACAAATATGGAATTAAAGTCCATAAAAGTAGAATGTAGAAGACATGTCTACCAGATTTATAGGGCTTGCTGGCCTTTGATTTTTTATGAATTAAAATTGGGAAAGGAGAAAATAGGAGAATGATTTGTTCTACACACTGGTTCTAATTTATAGATGTGAAACTTGTAGAGTCCCAGTAACTACCTAAAAACGTAGCAAAATATCTGAATATTGAATGATGCATGACACACCTGTCGTGCCTCCCTCTTACAAACGGAAAACTAAACAAGGAGGAAAGCTTGTTTGCCATGTGGAAGTGCTGTCTGCAACTCAGCTACCTACCAGGAGGATACATGTAGTGTGTTTCAAATTACAGGTTTTTTCCTCCCCTTCAGGTCAGCCAGTCAATTGGCCTATCTGAAAAATTCCTCATGTGATCTGGGAACCATTTTGTGGCCCTTTAGGATGGATGAGATAGGGAGCCACTTGACTTTGAAAAGATGACTCTTCATGAAAAAGTCTAATGCAGGATATTAACTGGCCTCAAGTACAGCATAAACACCAGAATTCTAATTAAAATGCCTTCAAATGAACTGTTATTTGCGCTTAATAGTGTAGGAAATTGAAATGTGTGTCTGTGCATGGGTGCATGTATCCGTATATGCGACTGTGATTTCAGACTAGGCAGGTTAACCAAGAGCTTAATATGTTTTTCAGGTTCGAGAAAACAACTACATCTACGAATTTGATTTTTCAAAAGTCTATTGGAATCCCCGTCTCTCTACAGAACACAGCCGCATCACAGAACTTCTTAAACCTGGAGATGTCCTATTTGATGTTTTTGCTGGGGTTGGGCCCTTTGCCATTCCAGTAGCAAAAAAAAACTGCACTGTATTTGCCAATGATCTCAATCCTGAATCCTATAAATGGCTCTTGCACAACTGTACATTAAATAAAGTGGACAAAAGGGTTAAAGTCTTTAACTTGGATGGGAAAGACTTCCTCCAAGGACCGGTCAGAGAAGAGTTAATACAGCAGCTGGGACCACTGTCAAAAGAAAGAAAACACTCTGTGCACATTGTCATGAACTTACCAGCAAAGGCGATCGAATTTCTCGGTGCCTTCAAATCACTTCTGGATGGGCAGCCATGCAGCAGTGAGCTCCTTCCCATAGTACACTGTTACAGCTTTTCCAAAGATGCTCGTCCTGCTGAGGATGTGCAGCAACAAGCTGAAGCTGTATTAGGCATTTCCTTGGATGCGTGCAGTTCGGTTCACCTTGTAAGAAATGTGGCCCCTAACAAGGAAATGCTGTGCATCACCTTTCAGATCCCGGCTGCTGTGCTCTACAAGAACCACACCCTAGATCCAGGTGAGCAATGTCTGGGAAATTAAATGGACACTGTAATACCTTTCATGTACCTTTCTTAACCTGTATATTATTTATTAAGTTCGGAAGAGGTTCAGCTAATTCTAGGTAGATATTTCAGTTTAGGACCCCTTGCCATTTGCAACTAGTTTCTCCCAGTGTAACAAAGTTTAGTATGTCACACTGTTCAAAGTACAAGATTATATTATTTCATTAAAATAATAAATCTACAGGAATGTTACTATTTCATATATAAGTTGAATGCATTAAAAACCTTTAACATGCCTATATTATTTGCTTTTTTAAAGTATTCTCGCATGGTAAGTATCTTATCTGATACAGCTTTTCTGGATTTGTTACAGAGAGTCATGAAGACCCTCCACCCCTTAAACGCCAGAGGACAGGCAAAGCCTTCTCAGAAGAAAAAACAACAATTGCTTAAATCACTTACTAGAAATGTTTTCGCCATCTCCCCACTAGATTTTGTAGTGAAATATGTTTGATTTCATAAAATTTTAGCATTTAGTTACCTTAGTACTGAAATGTTATATTTCACCCATGCTAGCTTATAAATCAAGGATTATCAAATTAAAGTTTAAATGAAATTAAGTCTACTGAACATCTTTATTAGCTAAATTATGCTATATAACTCATTTTATAACCTAAATTATTTAAGTAAGTTTAAATATGTCTGTCTCTTGGGAAAATAGACTTTGAAGGTAAGGTAACTGCATGCCAACTAGGAAAGCTCTAATAATAACACTTTGCGGTGCTGTAGCTAAGTTTTATGTGGTACTCTTGTCTGGTGTCACTATAAAAGTGATAACCATTAGATTATTCAGATCAGGGACAAGCACACAATGCCTGGCAGGTCAGATCATGAGCTGACAGATGTTACAAATAACTGCTCACTTCTTGTTTACCTGAGGCGTTGGTACTGAGTTTGAAGTTTCTGAAGAATCAGCCCCTGAATATTCTTCATGAAACACCTACCAGTGAGTATTTTCAAAGAAGTTGAGAAAACTAACTCTGTACAACCTGAAGTAGGATCTGCTAAGATATTCTGATGGTGGTAAGACCTAGTTGGAGAAATGTACAAAGCTTGTGAAAATGTGGTGTTTAAAACCTATGCTTATTTACTATCTCACAAGCAAGTACCTTACAGAAAATTTTTTCATCTGTCATATGTTACTGAACCAGTAGCGTCCAATGGTAAACTTCATTTGTTTTCATGGACTTGAACCATTTCGTAGTTCTTGGATTCTGTCAGAAGTTGAAGCTGAATTTCTTGACTTGTTTGATTTAAATTTGCTTTGCTTCATAATTATAAAGTTTGATTGCAATTTTTTTTTGAAATCAGGGTCAAGAAGAACCAACCTTAAACACTATTCTTACAACACTGAACAGCTTTAGAAATTAGCTTTTGCTAAAGGTCATAATATTTCTTAAGATTTAGCAAACGTAATGTGAAAATGCACTGCAGTAGTCATTGCAGCAGACATCTGAATCTCAATATCCTGTGCTGTGCTTTCTCATGCTACCAACTCACGATAAGACAGTGAAGACTTCCCTTCTCACACAGATTAGCAGTGGATGTACTTTCTGGGTTCAGCATTTTGGGGACCTTCGTACAAATGCAAAGGAAATTTCCCTATTTCAGAACACATTCAACTACATTAGAGCTTCCATCTAATCGATTGAAAGTCAGTAATGCTGTATGTAATGACATGCTGAAAAATAGATACCAAGGGAAGAATAATAAGAGTTTTACAAATGCCTTCTCAGTGATGAATATGCTTAGAATCATACGCTTCTGGATTGGTATCAGTATTAGGCAGTATCGATCTGTGTTAAAAGACATTTATGTAAAGGTGAAGTGTGTAAAATCTCATTGCAAATAACCATTAACAGGTGATAATTTACAGTTGACTTTAACGGGAAGAAACATTTAGAACTCTGATTAAAGGGAATGTTATTCCTCCAAAAAAGGGCATTACAAAAAATATACTGTTATATTTGGAATTTTGTTAATTAAAAAAACTATACCAATTTATCTCTTGTTATATAAGTGCTCCCACTTTAATGCTCTCAATTTTGCCTCTTAGCCCACAAAGCCTAAAATATGTACTGTCCAGCCTTAGAGAAAGTTTGAGGACCCTTGATCTAAGTCATTAATTACAAACTCCAATGCCTTCAAAGGCCAGGCAGGTAACATAAATAGATGAAGACAAGACAATAAATAATAAAAAAGTAGTAAGGAAGTAATGAATTGGAGTCTTTATTCCTTATCTAAATGCGCTTTAATCTGTTTTGAAATTCAACCCAACCTGTCCTCTGCCAGAGCTTGAGGGCTGATTCAGCCAAGGATTGCTAGTTTGGGACTTATTTTCTTCACCTCCCTGCCCTCCCAGGGAGAAGTAGGTCAGTGGTCAGCAAACCTTCTGTAATGGGCCAGATTGCAGCTTCTCATTCTGCCGGCAGCAGCCCAAAGGCAGCCACAGACAACACACAAACACTATGTTCCAAAAACATATCTATTTATGGATACTAACATTTGAATTTCATATGCTTTTCACACGTTAAAAAGTTTATTAAGCCTGGCTTTTTTCAAACTTGAAAAGAAGGTAACACCACTCTTAGCTTACAGAGCATACAGGAGCAGGCAGCGGCTGGGTTTGTCCAGGGGTCAACAGTCCCCCCCTCTCCTTATCTAGATGAAGAGAATTAATTAGCAAGTAGGAATAAAATTTTCTTGTAGTACGGTACATGGAGTGTGGGTTCAAATGATGTTCTTATTTGTCCAAGTGGTAAGATCCCTGCCTCCATTTAGTCTTGCCTCAATTAGAGAAAATATGCAGCATACAGTTGGAAAGATAACACAATCCTTGCTTAAATGCTTCTATTAACATTTCAACCCCTCCCCTCTTTTCCCTCCGGGGTGGATACATGAACATGTCATTACTTCGTTATTTAAATCTATGCCCTCCCCAGAGGTGACACTTGGTAACTGAATTCTTTTTTTTTTTAAAGATTTTATTTATTTATCTTTAGAGGGGAAGGGAAGGAGAGAGGGAGAGAAACATCAATGTATGGTTGCCTCTCGTGCATCCCCTGCTGGGAACTGGCCTGTAACCCAGGCATGTGCCCTGACTGGGAATCAAACCACGATCTTTTGGTTCACAGGCCTGCACTCAATCCACTGAGCTACCCCAGCGGGTAACTGAATTCTTAATGAATCCACTAAAAATCACAGAAAGTTTATCAGATACAATTTTTGAATTTTGTTAATTTTTGACAAGTCTTGTGTGGCCCCAATTTGAAATGATTATCTGACCACCTGTTGACATCCTAAAGACTACTTCTAAGAGAAGCTTAGATCAAATATTTGTTGAATAAAATTAAGGAATACTGAGTAAAAATGGATCCTAATGATGATGTAAGTGTATTAAGTGCCATTCACATCTGCTTAACTGGGAGTGTGATAGTTAACCATGTTCTACATAATGAATTTCTTCAAACTCCTCTCAAGGAATTCAAGATTATTTAATTGATGCCATTTATATCATAAAAAACTAGAAAGTTGATCTACAAAATTTCTTGGAGTCTTAAGAAGTTTCCTACTCAGACTTGATTTTGAAAAGGTATCAAGTCTGACAGTCATCTCTGGAGCACAGACTGGTGTTTGACTGCTTGGGTTCAAACCCAAACTCTGCGGGTCACTTACCCTTCCCAGGGCTCAGCTCCTCCATCTGTTAAAGTGGGTAAAATAAGACCAGCACTGCTGTAAGGATTAGAAAACGCACAAAGCAGCAAGCATGGTGCTTCTTGACACATGCGCAGTAGCTGGCTGTTATCTTTCTGTGCTCGTGTTCTAAAATGTTAAAAGACTTAATTCATGTAGTTGAAAGACTTGTACAACCTTTTGTCTCAGAGGGGACAGCGCTGGAAGGATAGGGACTGACCTCATCAATTTAGAATATTTCTGTTATTTAGTCAATTGCTCTCGTTAGGTTATCTTTCACCGTTCCTTTTAATCTAATAGGATCATTTAACAACTTCTAATTCGGCTTATTGAACAAAACATGGCAATAGTAGGGGTAAAATATTTACAAACATATAAAAGTTTTGTACTTTATTTGCCAAGTCAAGTGCAGGCAATTCCCACAATAAGAAGGTAGGCTCAAAAGTCTCAAAGCTTTTGAAATATTCCATGAATAGGTTAATTCCATTTAAATATGTCATGCAAGGTATTGAGAACTAGCAATATGTTTATTTTTAAAAGACTGGATACCTAACTGGCCGCTGAGTAGAGCAAAGCCTTAGTGCTATATCCAAAATTCTCACTGTTCTTCGAATAGATTTATGCATTCTACTGAAAATGCTAATCCTGAGTTGGGGAATACCAGTAGATATATAAATCTAGACTTCAAAACAAAACAAAAAACCTGTTACCTAGTTCTGGCTTTTTACTCATTTGTGTATATGACCTTAGCCTACCCAGTTATTCGATGCCTCGGTTTTCTCAATTTTCAAAGATAACTGGAAGTACTGGAAAGATGAAGATGCACTCCTGAAATTAATGCCTGTTTAGTCAAATAAGATGGGGTTGTTACATAAGGATCCCAACCTAATGTAACCGACCTTGTTTCACATAGCGTTCCACCCATAAAATTAACATCTGTTGTAATGGAGATTTGATAGGAAATCCCTTAATTTGCTTGAGAAACTCTGACCCATACCCAGTGGCCTACATAACAGAGTAATAGGTTGAGATCCTACAAATATCCATCCTATCCACATCTAAACTCTTCAAGCAAAATCGTGGATATACTGAAAGCCTCTGAAGTGTCAACAGAAACTACATTGGAGTCTCATAAGGAAATTTCATTTAAAGTGTATCCATTCCACAGTCTCCAGGGTTTCATCATAAAGTGAGTTCACTTTTGAGGTGAAAGGCTTCATTTAAGTATTAAATTTTATTAACTTAGTTCTTTGCATTTCTCATTAAAGCAAGTTAATACTCTTCCCTAGTTTATCCTAAGTGTGGTTCATGGCTGGAAACTTTAACCTTGATCAAGGTTTGTCGCACATTCCACTGCTCAAAACAGGCGCTGAGTCTTAATATTGAGAGTGACATTATCACAGGTCAGGTTTTACTTGCCATAACCTGCCGGTAGAAGGAAATATATCCACTTGTCTGAACTAGTATTAAGAAGACATTGGGAGGGCAAAAAAAGGAACATTTTATGAGAAGGAATAATAGACTTGCATATTAACACTAAATGTCGTATTCAAAATACACATTTTGAATGTGTATTCAAAAAACACATTTTATAATGTGTTCAAGTGAAATACTGTAAGAAGAGAAAAACCACAAAACTTAACATAAAGTCTAGCTTTATTTTAAAAAACATTTTACAAGCCTGTCAACCTCAAATATACATGGGTAAATTATTCATATCTTCCATCAGAGGAGGCTTCCAGCTTCAAAAATAAATCTGTTTCCACGAATATTTATCCACTCTATCGCTCAGCTTAGTTCTGAAACAGTCTCTCCATAAACACTTTCACACAGCTGCTACGGTGGGACTGTTGTGCAGCTGCGTACGGTTGCAGTTTTACAAGTCTGCTTTACTTCTGCAGGCTCCCTCATTCTGCTCCCAAGTCCAAACCTTACAAAGAAGAAATGGAGGTTAACGGGCCTGCCAGAAAAGCCCACTGAATGCATCCTGTAGCGCTCTGTGACAAGCAAGAGAAGAGGTGTAGCCTCCCGCAAGGTCCTGGGGAGAGGCAGCTCTGACATGGTTCAAATACCTAAACAAAACAAAACAAAACAAAAATGTAGCATGATATAGCAGGCACATAAAAGTTGGTAACATTTTCTAAAAGCAGGAGTAAAGCTGTGGATTGGGAAAAGGGGCCACACACTAAACCTGACGGGCTCAGGTAAGGGATCCTTGGTGGGCCTTACATCCTTAGAGACCTAAAGTAGCCACACAGGATGGTTTGAAATGAAAACTTCCTAACTAAAGGCTAGCCATGACGGGCAGTCCTGCCCTACTCCCTCAACAAAGGTCAGTCTTTACCTGAATGATGCCTGGCTATTGTCTTTTTGCATCTACTGTAACAGGAATGTGAGGGTAGTTTCCTTTTTCCAGACCCCTTAGGGCACGATCTCCCACCTGAGCACAGCCCACAAAGCCCCTCATTATTGTTATCATGTTAATTGTAAACTGTTAACTATCCTATACCCACCAGATGTTAAAAAAAAAAGCATGTCTATTCGTTACATTGTATCTAATCCCAGGTTTCCCTGTTTTGCTCTCTCCCACCTTCCTATCTATCACCAATGGATTCCATGAACCCCCTTTGTACCTCCTCATTTGTAATGTAGAATAAGGCGCAAAACTACCACTCTCTGGAGCATTTTCGCAGTCCGTTGACATTTAGCTTCCCAGCAATTTTCATCAGTTTGGCTCAAATAAACTCATAAAAATTCTTAGAGGTTTGGCTGACATCAACGGCAGATTCAAATCCCAAAGAGGAATTTGGATTTGAAATGTACATCATGAGAGAAAAACGCTGGTTTTAGATGAAGGTTGACCCAATGCTGAGGGATGATATGGGGAATGTTCTCTGCCAAATGCTGTGTTTGGAATATCAAGAGCATAAAGATCTTTTTCTGACAGTTCAAACTTAAGTCCATTTCAATTAATTTTGGTCTGAAGTGAGACTTTTCTCTAAATCATTGAGGTGTCTTTCAGTAGTCTGAGCCGCCAACCAACCATGGGTTTTGTTTCCCAGAGGAAATAATCCGCTCTTTGCTGAGAAAGAATGGTTCTCTCCAGTTCTTCAAGAGCTTTGGCTGACTTTCTAGAGGTCTCCAGCTCTTCAGCTACATGCCTGATATCTTCATCTGCTTAAGAAAGTTGTCCCTCTTTCTCTTAACAAGTAATTTTTTTCTGTTAATTTCCTGTAGTATGATTTCATTTCTTGATCAGTCATTTCTTTAAGTTTTTGCCAAAGCTTCTGATTCAAGACATTCATCTCATTTTCTGACTGCAATGATACTTGTTCAGTCTGGAGATTTTTAATACACTCTATAAGCTCTTCCTTTCTTTTGTCTACTTCAATTAATTCAATGTTATGTTTGGTTTCTTTCTCCTAGGGTTTTTAAAGAAGCCTTTAACTTAGAAGCATGAATCAACATTCTTCAAAGCCCCTACTGGCTAACAGTGCACCATTTTCTGAATCTCTTCATTTCCAATTCCAAGTTATCATCTGTTAAGTCTTCTCTAAGGACAGCAGCCCAATCTTGCATCTTTAGATCTGATTTGCTTTCTCACATAGAACTTGTTTTCCATATACTTTGGAGTCTTCAAATGTTACTTTGTTTAAGTTTATTCACTCGTTCTTTCTGTTCTTCAGATTCTTGTAAATACTGTTTCTGGCTTTCCCGAAGTTGGGGATTTTCACTCCAACCATCTTTTATAGCTATCTTAAGTTATTCATACATTTGAAATATTTTGAAGGTTGTTTCAACTTCAGCTACTTGTGATTTGAGTGATTCTGATTCATCTTATAAGGACTTTGTATCATTTTTGAAATATCTACCACCAATTCATCCAATTCAGAATGTTGAGATTTCTCTTCCTTTAACTCTTCTTCTAGAAAGAGTCTTTCTTCCCTAAATTCAGATTTGAAACTGTTTGGGCTTTTCAGACTGCCTCCAAATTTTGAGTTTCTGTTGACTCCTCAAAGCTGGAATGCTTTAATGACTCAGCCTTCATACTCTTTCTGTGTGAGGCTAAATTTTTCAAATACTTAACGTTTTTCTTTCTTTAGTGTAGAAAGTTCTACAGCAAACAAGCTTTTTTGTGCTCTCCACATACAGCCGGCTTCTAATCATTCGAAGACTTCTCCCCCAAAAATAAAATAAAATAAAATAATTCAAGAGCAAAAAATTCAACAATGGCTACACGTCAGCAATTCCCATGGGATTGGGGCTTTTTCTCATATC